TGCCAAAACAGACAAGCAACATCCTATATAATAAAAGCCCAGCAACCATAACGGAAGAACAACCAGAATGACCACTCGACCAGTCACTATGAGGTGCACTGACCACCTCTCAGTCCCTTTCCCCGGCCGCAGGCTCTGATCGCTGATGGCGAATGGGGACCCGGGGTGGGAGGCGGGGGATGCAGCGGCACCAGGCCAAGACCTCCGCCCTGCTTGTTGCCCCACACACAGAGGGTGACTTGCAGTGGGGCTGGGGCCGGAAAGTGGGCAGGAACCGCTGACATCTTGGTCCCTCCCCCAGCCTTCAGGCTCCCATCGCTGGATGGTGAATGGGGAACTGGGTGCGTGGCAGCAGAAGGTGGGGGTTGCTGCTGGCAGCTGCCAGCCAGGGAAGATGACCCTGATAACAGGCTAGGCCTAGGTACTGTACACGTGCACGATTTTGTGCACCGGGCCTCTAGTGTAACATGAAAGGGTTAATATGAATAATAGATGGGAATTCAATTAAAATTGTATGAAAAGTTAAATTATAAGATGAGAGTATTTTTTCAATTTTTACATTTTAAACATTTTGTATTAATGTGTATTTTTAATTATAGTTAGTGTAGTTAATCACTTTTTATATGTGTACTGCCTTGGGTTCTTGAATTTAACATCCACATGATACAAGAGTGGGCAGTGGCAAAGATGTGACTTTAAATTGAGAGACCTTTCTTTCTCAATTTAAAAAGAGTTAAAATCAGAATATTAAGTAAATAAATAAAGCACTAATATATGTGGAACAAACATTTGGGAATTTATATGTAACTACTTTTTAAAAACTTGCTCTGTTTTATGTTTCTGTAATAATTTTATAGTTATTTACTTTTATGATTCTCTCCTATTAGAGTAATACCATCACAGGGTAGACACCCTTTTTTTTCACCTTTTTGTTCCTGGTATGTATTTGGATCTGTATGAGCATCAAATGTTTGCTAAATAAATGAGTGACTGGATGGATAAGTCAATAAATAAATAAGTTTGCATTGCATATTTGGATGAATGCTTTTGATAATTATGGGGATAAGATCTTATATGTTATATGTCAAAGTGGAGCAATAGCAAGTATATTAGAATGATATTGTACAATAACTCATCAGTAGGTTAATCCACAGTTGGTTTTTAAAAGAATTGACCCTTGCTTTCTTTTCCTAACACAAAAATGACAATGAATGTATTATTCAAATATCTATAATAATAAAAGCATAATATATTAATTAGACCAGATGTCCTTCCAGACGACCTTCCTGGATGAAGCCGGGGCTGTAAGAAAAACCCGGTCCTGGGTGCAGGAGGGAAGCCGGTGCTAGCAGCCAGGGGAAGGAAGGCCTATTCTTGCATGAATTTCATGCATCGGACCTCTAGTCTTTTTATTAAAAAGCCAGTTGTAAGATTTTAGAAATGGTTCTCCTTATTGATTAAAGTGATTACAGGATCTTCTTTGATGATTTTTGTTGAAAACCTTTTGAGACATGGTTGATGAGTGCCTCTATTAACTTCAGAAGCAGGTTGAAAGGAAAAATTAGCAAAGTGAATTAAATTTGTAACTTAAGACAGACTTTATGAATATCCTTGCTTATTATATAGGATGTGTCAGACAGAACCCTTCTACTCTAATCTTTAATTTAACTAATCAGTCCTTTGATTCCAAATCACTAAGACATCACTGAGAGTCAAAGACTAACCTTGAAAATGGCTTCTCTTCTTTAGCCATCCGAAAGATCCAAAGCTCCATTAAGTAGGTGTGGATTTTTCATCTTCATGCAGAAGTTACAAGTCTCTGGTTGTAAAAATTTGTTGTTTTGGAAAGGATGCTGAAAGATCTACCTTAGTTGCTTGGTGAAGTTAATTTTAGATCAGTGGTTCTCATCCTTCCTAATGCCGCGAAACTTTAATACAGTTCCTCATGTTGTGGTGACCCCCAACCATAAAATTATTTGCGTTGCTACTTCATAACTGTAATTTTGCTACTGTTATGAATCGAAATGTAAATATCTGATATGCAGGATGTATTTTCATTGTTACAAATTGAACATAATTAAAGCATAGTGATTAATCACAAAAACAATATGTAATTATATATGTGTTTTCCGATGATCTTAGGCAACCCCTGTGAAAGGGTCGTTAGACCCCCAAAGGGGTCAAGACCCACAGGTTGAGATCCGCTGTTTTAGATGAAGTGATATGGAGTTCTACTTTCTCTTTGTAACAGCAGAAGAAGAGCCACTTGATTGATCTGTGTCTCCCTCAGCAGAGCAAGGGTCAGCCATATTATTAACAGTAGATCCCTAAAACATGAAACTGAATGCATAACTCCTTTGGATATCTTTTTCAAACATTTTGCTTTTTTCTTTAGAAAAAAGAAAATTACATATTTCAGAGTTGTATGCTATAAATCTGTTGAAATATCTTCCTTGATTTTCTGAATGCCATTACACTAAATATTCTTTATTCTACTATTTGATTATAAATTTCAAAGCCAGTTTTTCTTGTGAATTCATTATAAGAACAGAGTACTGGACCCTGAGATATTAATTACTTGGGACTAACCATAAACAAAATGTAATTTATTTATTTATTTATTTATCTTTATTGTCATGATTTATTAAACATCTAATTCCCAGAGATAGTCTAGGCTCAAAAGTAGCAAAGAAAATTGTAGACAATTAAAGCCTTGTCCTTGTGCTCAACTGGTTTATATTTTGTTTCACTGGAGGTTTCACTTTTTTTTTTAAATCACTAGGGTTATGTTATATGTCATGTCATGTTATATGTACTACATTGGGATTATTCAGATATCATAATACTATACTATTAGTAGACCAACCTTAGACATTCAGAGGAGATAATTACATAAGTCTCTTAGAAATTAATTTTTCTTTTATAAATGAAGAACTTGGTATAGAAATAGTTATAGTTAGTGCTCATATAATAATAATACTATAATAGAATTTTAAGTAGTCAAAATAATAGAATAATAGAATTTTTGAAATCTGACTGAATTTAGAAATTATCACTTTCCATCCATGCCCAATTCACTCCACAATTCCCTTCTCATATCCATCAGGGATAAGTGATTTTCCCCACATAGTCCTCCTTTCATCTCCCTTTTCCCTTTCCTTCTCTAAGTTATTTCAGCCCTTTAAAGGAAAGTGCAGTCTCAATAATTAAATATATGAACAGAAGTTTGAAGGAATATTTAGAGCTATAAATCCAGGATTTCTATAAACTGTTCAGATTACATAAGATATAAAAAATGTTGTATACACGACAGGAGAGGTGGATTGAATTGAGTAGGATATTTTTTAAAATATATTTTTATTGATTCAGAAAGGAAGGCAAAGGGAGAGAGAGATAGAAGCATCAATGATGAGCGAGAATCATTGATCGGCTGCCTCATTTATGCCCCACACTGGGGATCAAGGCTGAAATCCAAGCATGTGCCCCGACCAGAAATCAAACCGTGACCTCCTGGTTCATTGGTTGATGCTCAACCACTGAGCAATGCTGGCTGTGTGGACATCTATAATAGTAAAAGTGTAATAGGCTAATTAGACCAGACATCCTTCCAGATGACCTTCTGGATGAAGCCGGGGCTGTGAGGGAAGCCCAGGTCCTGGGTACCTGCCAGTGACCAGAGGGAAGCCTGGGTCCCGGGTGCCTGCTGGCAGCCAGAGGGAAGCCCGGGTCCCGGGTGCCTGAGGGAAGCCGGTGCTGGCAGCTGGGGGAAGGAAGGCCTACTCTTGCATGAATTTCGTGCATCGGGCCTCTAGTTTTTTAATGATGGCATCTCTGAAAATACCAAAACAAAGTTATTTTGACTTCTGCTAGTATTTCTTTTAGGAAACACTGCAGTAGATTAATACTAGTATGTCTGTTTTGATGATGTGCCCTATTTTTCTGTGTATAAGATGCCCCCCACTTTTCCAACCTCAAATTAAGAAATCAGTATTTTAAACATTTTGCTGGTTTTCCTCTTAAGGCCTTCTTCCTTTTTGGCATCTTAAAGAGTTATTCTTCCTGTTTTCTCCACTGTCTGATCATACACTCAGTGGGAGGAGGTCCAAATTGTCTCTCTGCAGCTCTATTTCCATGCTCTTTTATATAGCTGATTACATTCAGTTTGAGTTTTGCAGAGTTAAGACAATCGCTTACCCGTATTTATCTTTATTGACATCTTTATGGGCTCAGAACGCTCCGGTCCCTGTTGCATCTGGGCACTCTCCACCTCCACCTCCAATTACAGCAAGTATGTCAAACTCAAAGGCTAACACGAGCCAAATAAACGAGGCATGCAGCCTGTGGGCTGTGAGTTTGACATGCTTGAATTACAGCATCAGCTGACATCAGTAACAATAAGGCTCATGATTGAAGAAGCCTATTTGACAAGGTGTGGGAAGTTATGCACCCACATGGTTCCCTCCTCGGCTGACTTCCATGTATAAGAATGTCCCTTGATTTTCAGTCTAATGAGTTTAGAAAAAAATAACACCTTGTACATGGAAAAATATGGTAATATATATCACTAGAAGCCCAGTGCACAAATTCGTGCACAGGTGGGGTCTCTTGGCCTGGCCAGCAATCGGGTCCAATCAGGGTGGGGGGAGGGGGCACACTGGCCAGCCAGGGGGAGGGGCTGCAGGAGGTTGGCCGGCCAGGGGGAGGGACTGTGGGAGGTTGGCCGGCCATAGGAGGTTGGCTGTGGGAGTGCACTGAGCACCAGGGGGCAGCTTCTGCATTGAGCATCTGCCCCCTGGTTGTCAGTGCACATCATAGCAACCAGTCAACTGTTCGTTCGGTCATTCAGTCACTTAGGCTTTTATATATATAGATATATAGATAGCTAATCAGAGTTTCAATGTTTTTAAATCGAGTTTTCACTGATGAAATGATTGGAGGGTATTTTTTTATTTTTCTCTTGTGTTTAATTATTTCTCTAATGTAAAATATTTTACTTTCAGACAGAGAAAGGACTATCAAAAGTATGGCAAGAAAGTAAGCAGACTTCTGGTGATCAGTGGCAAAAGGCTGTCATCCTTCTAGGAAAATTAAGAAATTTTGAAGTTATGTTCCAAGGTATCAGAACAAGGGATCTAGGAGGAGGAGCTGCAATTGATGACATTGAATTTAAAAACTGCACGACTGGTAAGTTTCTGGAAACATTTCCATTTGGAAACACACTTATAATCTAGCCTTTTTGTCTTTGTTTCATATTTATAAAGTGTTCTGCTGCTATATATTCTGTACATAAATAAAAATAAATTTATAATTTGATTTCATAATTATTGAACCTATACTTATATGTTAAGCGATAGTATTTTCTTTACTTATCAATTGCTCAAGTAATGTCTTCCTCCATACATCCCCTTTCTAACATGCAGAAATGTTCTCCTTTGAATTACTTATTTTCAACATAATTTAAAGTGTAGGCCTAATATTTATATACATTTATCTGCTTTATATAATTTAAGATGAATCTTCTTGATTAGAAAGCTAGTAGTTGGTGAACATATGAGAAATAAGTTCAATAGGTATAATTCAAGCAGAACTTGAGTTGAAGTCTATGCTTAGGGGATTTAAGAAGCCACTCTAGCCAGTGAACAACAGCTTGCAAAACTTCGCTATTTATCATGCTTCTAAATGTGAAGTCTAACTATACTTAGATTTTTCTTACAAAAATACCTAGAAAATGTAAAAAGTAATTATAAATACATTTGTATATTTTCACAATTGGCATAGTTCTTTCTGAGGAACCATTCCATCTTCTTTCCAAAGTAGTGCTGTGTGATATATACTGCTAATGAGAGATATGCCTTCTGTGATTTTCTGCATGAAGTCACTTAGAGGTAAGCCCCAGGGACTGAGAGCTAAACTTGCATGCTATTTAATTATATTGTTGCTCTCATATTAAAATATGACTTCACTGAAGCAGTTAAAAAACATGACTTTAGTTTTTAGTGATGTAGCATCTGCTCTTTTCATGACCAGGGCTGCTTCAAAAGATTCTGCTTAGAGGTCAGTTCTGCAGTTTGATTTCCCCCATTATGTTTCTTGGAACACGTTACAGAAAGTCAGAATTCATGCCCAGATGATCTGGAGCACAGAGCTCCAGGTATCTGTGTCACACAGCAGACAGGGTCTGGCTTAGGGGAGTTTGGGAGAGGCTGCTGGACAGAAAGGAGGGTTCTGAACTATAATCATGCAAAGGTATCTTAGAGGTCACAATGTGCTGCTTCAGCTCCTTTCTACTAACTTTCCTAGAAACATGGTAAATTTCTATTATAGTTGTTAATCACTCAACCTATATATGCTTCTAGCAACTTAAACATTTTTTTCAAAGCATTTATGAATATTTTAGAAAAAAAGAAGAAGCTTTATTAAACAATAAAGATTCCGTTCTTCTCAAGGGAAGCAGAATGATTCCTAAATGGTTTGATTCAGGACAGAAGAAAATGGAAAATTATTCCAGCTTTGCCAGGTTTCATTTAAACATTTACACTGTTTCCTCCCCTATTTATCTTGAAGTCCTGTGAAAATTTACATGATTATAGTTAATTTTGTTCAGTTCAATCCAATGCTTAGTTTACTGAGTAATTCTTTAATATATTTAGTGATAAACTATTATAGTATTTCTGTGTCATAAATGATAAAGGCAAATTGTGGTCACTTGTAGGTGAAGTAATCAATTGTATATTAAATATATTTTAGGAAAAATTAATTGTTTTTAATAGACCAGCTTGATACAAATAGTGAGGATTTTCAAATTATATATGAATCAAGATAGAAAGCAAAAAAAAAAGAATTATGAAAAAGTTTGAGAAAAACTAAGCATGGAACTGAAAAGCAATGATCCATTAGTTTGTTTTAAATAATTAATCACCACACATATGATTATTTCTTTTTAAAATTTAATATTATTTTTTCATCACCATTTATCCTAGGTCCACTCCATATACCAATAAACTGTCAGTGCTGTGAAGTATGGCTAAGGAGAAACAGTTTAGAATATGTTACCCTAAGTTATGTTTTACTATTGAAATTTAGAAGAGAATGATAGTTGACAAAACACCCCAAAATCAGAGAAGCACTACAGAATGGTGATTAAGAACAAGGAGTCTTGAGTCAAACTCTCTGGGTGTGGACTCTGGCTCTTCCACTGTCTATCTTGGGTGTGTTATTTTGTGTGTGTGGTTTTTTTTCACTTTGCCATAGTTTTGTTATCAATAAAATGCGGATAGTAGTGATGATACTTCCATCATAGATTGCTGTGAATATGAAATCTGATAATATAGATGAATCACTTAGAATAGTCTTGGCACATAGTAAAATTTATATACCTTACTGAGGTCTAGTGCACGGGTCGGGTCTGGCCGGCCTGCCCCTATCGGGGCCAATTGAACTGGGCGGGCAGAGGGGAGGCAATGCGGGAAGTTGGCTGGCTGGCCCCAACCCCATTCAGGGTGGGGGGGCTGGATCAGGGATGGAGCCAGCCGGGGGGAGGGGCTACAGGCAGTTGGTGGTCTGGCTCCACCCCAGATCGGGGTGGGGGAGCTGATCAGGGGTGGGGCCATCTTGAGGGAGGGGCCAGGGGTGGTGGGCCAGCTGGCCCTGCCCCCTGGTCATACTCCCGGTTGAACTCCTGGTTGAGGGGACAATTTACATATTAGTCTTTTATTGTATAGGATTGCTGTAATAATCATCATTATTATTTACTTTGCCATGTTTTCAAATAGTGCTCTATTCCCTGTATTAGCAAATCAACTTAAATCATATGCACATAATTTGTCATGAAAATCTCTCATGTAATTGTTGCTGTTTCCCATTTGAAATGAAAGTTAAAATGACGATGTTCATTTCTCTGTCACATCCTGCGAATCACAAAAGACTGCATATTACATGATAACATTTATATGGAATGTACAGACTAGCAGATGTGTAGAGATAGAAAGTAAATTAGTGGTTACTTAGGGCTGAAAAAATAGGGATTTGGGGAATGACTGTTATTGAGTATGGGTTTCTTTATGGGTTGAGAAAAATGTTCTATTTTTTATGGTGATTGATACACAACTTCATAAATATACTAAAACCATTACATTTTAAATTTCATATGGATTAGCTTAGTGGAATGTAAATTGTAAATTATAAATCAATAAAGCTGTTAAAAATAAAGAAAGAAATGAGGGAGAATTCTGGAGAGATGGTAGTGGTGGTGTCAGAATAGCTTTTGGATTTTTAAAAGTCCTCATATCAAAACAGTCAGAGTACCTAGTAAGCAAAGTCAATAAGCATTGAAACCTACAAAACCTACAAGCTAATGGAGACAAACTGGCAATAGCCCCAAGACCTGTGTGGTATTTATGTCTACAAAAGAGAAGACAGGAGAATCACAATAGAGCTGACAGGCAGAGATTCACTAGAAAATCAGTCAGACAGTTTGAAAATGGCAGCTAAAATTGGGAAGGATTTTACCCACTTTGAGAATGAGTGGGCCCAAGTGGTCTATGGGAGTTGGTGGGACTGGAGCAGTCCAGCTACTGTGCACTCGCAAAAATGGATCCACCAAGATTCCTCTCCAATACAGCAGCCCGTGTTCAAAACCAATACAAAAAAATGAAAAACCAAATCAAGCACCACTGGGAGTGGATTCAAAATTGAGTAGACCAGGGACAGATGAAGGAAAGAGAAGACCACATCAAAGTGGTGGAGGAGAAATGAGCCAGGAAATCTCAAATGCAAGCCATCATATTTGTATAGATTTATTTAAGTTTTATAGACTTTGATACTCATCACCTAACATTGCTCATACCATTTTAGAGCCTCAGTTTCCTTGTTTCCAAAATGACAGAATCATAATAGACGATCTCTGAGATTTTCATAGAATTGACAACTCTAGAATCCAGCATATTTTTCATACTGAAAATATATCATTTTACACAATGAGAATTCAACGTATTTTTTAGTTTTTAAATAAATTTATTGGGGTGACATCCTATATAATAAAACCCTAATATGCAAATCAACCAAATGCAGAAAGACAAGCGGAATAACTGATCGCTATGATACACACTGACCACCAGGGGGCAGACACTCAACACAGGAGCTGCCCCCAGTTGAGCGTCTGCCCCCTGAGAGGGAGGCGACCTGTGGTGGTGATTGGGGGATGGAGCCAGCCAGCAGGCAGTGCCAAGCCACCAGCCAAGGCGGGTGCCAGCAGGGACCCCCAACCGTCACCCCACAGATGGCCCTGATCGCCGGCCAGGCCTAGGGCCCCTACCCTATATATTGGGAACAGTCTCTTAGATTTAAAAATTAAAACCTGGCAAGACTACTCTAATACTGAAAAAACTGGATGATGCAGCAATGACTTGCATGGACTCGGGCTTGCACATTTTATGGTCAGCCCTGATTCTGACACTTATAACTGTGTGACAAAGCCAATTACTTAACTTCTCTCTGCTTCAGTTTTTCCACCCATAAGATGGGGAGAATAGTACGACTACCTCAGAAGGATCATGTTATGTACTACTTTTTGCAATCAGGGCAAAAAAATGTAGCTGCCCATACAACAGCAAAATGCCTTTCACCTGTATGAAAAGTATGGTCACTGGTGCATGCAGCGTCCCAGATTGCGAGAGGGATGTCCAACTGCTAGTTTAGGCCCGACATCTCCCCAGGGGTCCCGGATTGTGAGAGGGCACAGGCCAGGCTGAAGGACCCCACCCCGCCCCCTGTGCATGAATTTTGTGCACCATGCCTCTAGTTGGTTAATAAAGTTATATAGGTTTCGAATGCACAATTCTATGATACATGATCTGTATATTCACGATGTGTTTACCACCCAAAGTCAAATCTTATTGTCACTCTTAATTTGGCCCCCATTAACCTTTACAACCCTCCCTTCCCTCCGATAACCATCATATTGTTGTCTGTGTCTATGAATTTTTGCTTGTTTACTTTTCTTGTTTGCTCATTTGTTGCTTTCAATTTTAAATTCCCTATATGAGTGAAAGTGTATACATGCTTCTTGACTTTTTCTGCCTGACTTATTCCATGAGAGCAAAGTTTAAAATTAATTAAGAATAAAAAAGTGGAAGAAGGAAAAGGATATATATAAAATATATATTTGGTAGTTATCTACTTTACCT